CACTTAAAAATGGCTAATTTCTACTGGTCCTTATGATACCTTTACCATTGGGCAAGGACTAGTGCCAATTTCTAACGCTGACTTGCAAACAAGAAAACAGCCATATCACTATCCCCCGCCATGGGGCACAAGAGAATTCTGTTTGTTCATGAATATAGTAGTGAATATAAACTATAGAATAAGTCTTATAAAGCCTTAAGAAGAGATAGGCACTTATGTCATCAGAAAAAATTATTAAATGCGAAGTTAAAAAACATAATAGCGATAGGAACTAACACTAGTCCTTGTAATGATAACATATCAAAACCCAGAAAAAAGGGCAAATTTCTACTAAAGTACAGTCAGAAATGCTAGAAAAATGCTTTTTGTCTGTTAAAAAAGAATATCATTTTTCACAGACTATTGTTATTGAAATATCGAGTAACTACCGATCAAGCTACCTGTGGTTTAAAGTATTTCAGTCACAAGGAGTCCCATCGACAAGTTTACAGGAGACAAATTTGAACGAAAACAGGAAGTTCACATTTATTCTAAGTCCAAAGATGGCAGTCTGAAACGGACTATAGAAATATGCGCACGTGACTCCGTTATAATGATAATAATGTATTCTTCATAAAACATCTAATCCACGTACACAATTCATTTGGAGAAAATTCTAGATGTGCATCTTCTAAAATGACAAAATGACGCTGTGTTTGTTTTGTCAACACTACTCCCATGATGCATGTTACATTACACTTGCATAGCCATAACCATGGTACACGATATGGAGTCTGTACTGGGAAATGTATACAAGTTCTTTACACTTTAGAGAGATAGAGGGAAACATGTATTAATTAGACAGGGTGAATTACCGAACTGCCCAAGCTAAGGAGTTTTCAAGCCTATCATGGTCTATGGTATGATAAACAAAACACAACAGGTATAGGCATGATAGGGGTGGTCTCAAAAACAAAACTGGGACGTAAAAGGATATTAGACAGCTTTGATACAGGGGGATCAGGCGTATAGTGTACAAGCTTTATGAGCAGAAGGTAACCCTGACTTGAAGTAAAATTTGGTAGGAATTTAAGATTGCACTAACTATTGCTCTCCAAGAGATGGGATTTTGATACACTGGCGTGGCGATGACCAAGCGGTTTTCAGGGGACGATATTCAATCCTGTCAATGAGGTCACATTATCTCCGGACCATTCATAACTATCACAGTCAGGGCGTCTAGATAATTTACTTTGATAAATCATTCCACTGACTATATGTAGCTATCGGCAGATGGACAAAAAGCACCCATGGTACTATGAGGTGAAGGTAATCGTGGCATTGTTTTGCACGCCTGAACCCATGATATGGGGCTTATTGGATGTGTGCTAGTTTTCAAGGCGAAAAAGAAAACTGGTGATTTTCATAAGGAAATTATAGGAGGTGATGTGTCCATAGACTGGTTGGAACATCAGCTATTGCCACTTTTAAACAACGTCAGTGTCATGGTCATGGATAACGCCAGTTAATATAACGTCCGGGAATCAGATATTGTCGCACCAACCACGGAGGCGACCATACAGGAATATATGACATTGTCGACTTCAGTCAGACATTGTGAGCTCAACCCTGTTGTGCCTATCTTGCAAAGGGTTCGTGGCAAGACATAACACAACATTCAAAAGCACAGATTTATATATGTCATCAGCGGAGATAAAGGCTACCTCAAGAAACCATCTGTAGAACAACAAATACTTCTTGATTCCAAAACCACAACCTTCCAATACTCATCCCGTTTCATAGCTTTTAACTATTCAATCATGTTTCCAAGCAAATATAATGCAATATATATCCTAAATTGCTACCCCATCAACGCACATGTCAATTAAGTACAATAACAGCAATATTTTGAGACAACCCCCAACTCGGTGACATTTGCACCTGGGAGAATGCACGGGACGGTGTGAGGTCATCACCTCGGGACAGGTGTTAGGTGATTACCTCAGGTTATAGGCCATTTTATACATGCATGACAACACACGAATATTTTATAAGTTGATCATCATTTTACCTGTAAAAGTACATTTAAGGGTAATCACAATGCAAGTTAGGACAGGCTAGATTAGCAAATGATTAGGTCAGTTTGCGTTATTTTCACATATGCTCTATTTATAGCCCTATGACTCATATTTATCAAATGAAATCAGAAAAGCATTTTTCTAGCATTTCCGACAGTACTTTAGCCCTCAGGGTACCTTGAACATTGGGCAGTTTGGCAAGGACTACAGGACAAGTGCCAATTTCTAACGTTGCATAACAGACCCCTTCTCTGTGATAAATAACTCAATCTTGGTAAGTATCTCTCGATAGGTAACTTCAGTAGTTTCTGAGAAAACTTGTCCCCCCATTGCACACCCTATGCACTAAATAAAATAACATGGGTCAAGGGGCAAAATTTTGTAAAAAGAATTACAGAACCAATTTTCGAACTCAATATTGACAAGTATCTCTAAGATAAGCTAGCAAACTTTCATTCAAGTAATTTCAGCAGTTTCTGAGAAAACCTGTCCCCATTTCAAGCAGTATGCACAAAGTTGAAACGGTAATAACTCTGTCAAAAAAAAGAATTTACGAAACCTATTTTTGAAAGGATCCAAGATAATGACCAGTAACATCAGCAGTGGAGGACGTAACGTGTACGCGAGACAGCTCTCCCGTCTCGCGTACAAGTGACCACCTGAGAGGGCCTGCGTGACGGCCTGTCAGTGGACCATGGATTTCTGCATGTTGCACAAAAATGTCTCTACAAGCGTTATTTGTGAAAATAATAAAACAAAATTAAGTACAGTTATTGATCATTCTACTAGTTATGGAATGACATGAAAAAAATGTCATAAGAAAAATAATTAACGGTCAAATTGGGAGAAAAATGTGCAAAAATCGAGCAAAATGTTCTGTTTTTGACAGCGATTTTCTCCTATGTACATATTTTTCAGAAACTAACACGTAGTATTTTCTAAAAGCTTATTCATCGTAGAGTTACAAAATATATAAATTATTTCACGCAAACCAACGCACACCCATTTTCCATCGCATTGAAACATGTTTACTTTCTTCGAAACTGTGCGAACCGTCACGCGTACACGTTACGTCTGCGACTGATCAGTGTGTAAAATTTCAATTCTTTGACTAAAAAAGTTTTTTAGTATGTTGAGAAGATTTGTCCCCTTTGAGAACTGGATGGACGGACGGACAAACTCGACTCCTATATCCCCCACCGCACTTCGTGGTGGCGAATAATAATGGCAACAGGCTTGTTAATGTTAATGTCACGGTTAGTAGATTTCTTGTAGGAGTGTTAAAATGGTTGAGGATACCATGGCTACATCGCTGTCAGACATGAATTTGTCTCCAGGTGAAATGGTGTTGGCGCCTAAAGTTTGTAACAAGGAATGAACATTTTGAGGCCACATGTCTTTCAGTGAAATAAACAATCATTTTAGGCCTGAATAATGCTATAGGGGTTGTTGTCATCATCACAGGTACTACAGAAACACATACCCCAGGTAGCTTAATGCATGGACCATATATGGTCTCTGCTTAATGTATACACAAACGCACCCTCGGTTGGCAAAGTGTACAACATCAGAGTCAAGATGAGACTATTTTCACAATACACAAACTCAGTTTCAGTTTGACTTTCAAGTAAATTCTGTTGCATGTTAATTAAACTATGTTTCTGTAGTATCTGTCTCGACAACCCTAACAGCATGAATCAGGAGATAAACACTCTGTGTTTTCAATGTAGAGCTAGGTAACCCATGGTTACCTGTAGATTTAACCGCACTAAATTTAACATTTGAAACCTCATGCTGAGCGTTCAGTTCCAAATTCAATTTAGCGCGGTTAAATCTACAGGTCACCTAGCTCTACATTGAAAACACAGTATGTTTATCTCCATTCTATCATGACTAAATAAAACGTGAACTCTTTGGTGCTTGCAAATATTTTGAGTGAAGCGGCATGGGATGAGTCCAGTGTTTTGAGTGGGTTATCGATCTGAATTACGATTCACCGACAACAGCCTTAAAACTAAATACGGCGCTGTATATTCCCAGGCAGTTTGTTAACACTGTAATACTTCACTTGAACATGTGACAGGCATTGACAGCATATAATCACAGCAACTTGGAAAGCTAACATGAGGTGGCCACCCCTAAAGAAAACTAAGCAAGCTTTGCAAAGCTTTCGTTCTACACCGACTGTCACCATTATGACATCTAGCGCTCATTGTGAAGCAAAAGATATGACAACACAGTCATATGTAGAAAAGCGTCAAATTCCAAACTCTCTTAGTCTGTCTGTTGTCCCCAAAACTTGAAATACACTCTCTTTGTTGATTTCTATTGTTTTTTTTCTGCACAAAATGTATTGCCTCACATCCTTTGAATTATGTAGTAACGGTAACTTTGCAATTTGTAACCTGTAATTGTAGGTATAATTATTTCAATATGCCTACCGACAATGATTGAAAAAAGTTCTTTTCTATGAATAGATCTAATAGCTTCCGCGGTGATTGTGTCAAACCAGCTGTTTTAAACAGAGGGGGTTTATTGTGATTTAATAGCCTCTGATTGACCAATCAGAATCGAGTAATTTCCCAATTCATGGTAGAATGAACTTTAACGCTAACATGAACAGTTCAGACCCATGAGGAACGTAGAAAATACCTATTTATTAATTTGAACAAAATTCTTTATATAGGCCTAATATATGAATAAATAAGCAGGTTGATAAGAAATTCCTCATCAATTTCTGTATTTGTAAATATGTACGCATTCTGTGTACCATCCGTAAATAGAACCTACGCATAAGTCCGTATCATTGCGAAATGTGGGTAGTTATTACGTTGTCAGGTTTTAACTTGATCATCGCCGACTGTATACATGTTCAACATGTTAACGAGAATAAGACAAGATCTATAAAAGGAAGAAATATCTCAATACACTCGTGATACTTACACAATGATCTGGGTTATCAGGGAACATCGGGCAACGATTTAAACTTAGGCTGGACGCATTCATCTCTGAAGCCAGTAACTCCCTAGACGCCATGTTTAGATCTCCCGGAATATTTTGACACTTCCGGGTATACACTCAAAGGGAGGCAACTCTGAAATGAAATCAATATTCATTATGCCTGCGTCAGATTTCTTTTGCGGGGATCGAGTCCCATAGGACTCCATTCAAAATGGACAGACCTCCGCTATTAGTACTAACGTATTCAAATGCGTATATATTCTTTTCGAAGGCAAAGCAACTTGAACTAATGCGACGTTGAGCCAGCATGCTTCTCCTCACTGCTCTGTCGAAGCACGTCTCCCAATAACTCAAAGTACGGGCTAATATAATCAGTCATGAGACTCCGAGTGTAGTTCTACTATCACTCAGCCCATGGCCAATGAAACATGCCTACGCATTTGAATCGAGTGGTACACATTCAAGGTAGTGCTATATCTTCAGAGGCTAGTGCCGTCGTGGTAATTAGGTCCAAAAGGGAAATATATGTGACTTCCTTAGTCATTAGTGTATTAACAAAGAAACACTTCGTTTTGATATTAGACTCGTGTCTAGACACTCCACTCTCAACCAACTCGCCCGACTTACGAGATGTCCAACTTGCAATCGATCAATTTATCTCTCCCTGAATTACGTGATCTGTGATATTCTTGTCCACCATCGCTATGATAAATTGCTTTCAGGATATCGCCGAAAGCCTGCGAATTAATCCAGTAATTATCCCACTAAGTCCATTAATTGGCACCGCGACTGAGGAAATCGCAATTCATTTCCAAAATGTCAAAATTAATCACGGACAGAGGCAGATGATTATTTCCTTCAGTCGAATCATTTTTCGCGATTGGCTTGTTCTGGGGGAGGAACATGCCTTTCAAATCCACAGCATTCCGATTTTGATAGCACTGGAATCGATAAGACGGCCACGTGAATAAGGGGACAACCAAATTCAATATTATTTACGGGACGACAACATTGCTATGAATTTTCAAAGCTGTTTAACTCCTTACATCAGCTGTGATATTTGGAAAATAAACACTACCGGCGATGTCGATGAGCTGCCACTGCATCGCCAGTTCGCACACAATGCCTATATACACTACGTATATACTCTTCTCAACACGACATCAACAGGATCTGACGAGGGAGTAAAACGGGAGCCGATCGAGCATTAGGTGATGGCCTGCCATCCTTTGATCTACGTAATATGACCGTAATTGCTCTCTGCTGAATTATTCAAAATAATTGTCCCTACCAGTTCCCGGGAAATAAACGCTTTATGTCACCCTAGAGTGGCCATGCTCATCTACTTGTACATGGCCGTTAGGCTGCTGTGGGCGACGGGTCTCGCCTCTTCCAGGTCGCTGCGATCCAGACTTAGCAAACACACAGATTTCTGCGGGCGGGTGATATATGTTTGCATGATAAATATGATTGGAATTATGGATAGAGCATATAGACAATTTTACACAATTTGTCCACAGACGGACATGATATTAACTGTCGGGGTAGTTAATGTAGTGACTGATCTCTGATACTCGGGCTGTAATAACAAGGAGGCAAGACAATATTGTTATATGTAAGGCCACAATGTTCTGCTTTTTGTTTTTCGGAATCTCACCATTTCTTACAAAGGATGTTTGTGGACATTTTCTTACCACAGGGAAGTCCTTAAAATTATATTTAGATACGCGTGCACGGACCTTGCCAAAACATACTTAAAAAAATAATGCATGGTTCCAAAATAGACTTTCTCCTGCGAAGAAAGATAAATCTGTCTCTTTAAAATCAGTAATATATTCCGCAAGTCTACGGGGTAATAACATTTGTCCCGGAATATGCAAATGTGCTAGTCTATACAAGTGTAAATTGTCTCTTTTAAAATCGAAAACCTAAAAAGTTGTTGACGAGCTATCTTATCGCCTTCCTTTTCCGCTCTTAAGTCCCTCTTATCCAGTATCCTACCATTCGCTTATCCAATTCCTACCCATCACCTTACTTCACACCCTCTTATCCCTTTCCCTGTATATAATAGCCCTTTAAATCTTATCCAGTTTAAACCTTTTCCCCGTTTCTACCCAACTCTTATCCCGCCCTTAGACCGCTCGTACCTCTAATCCCATACACCCCACCCCCCCCCCCCCACACACACACACACCACACACACCCCTGTTATTCCCCTGTTGTTCTCTTACCCCTCTCTTATCTCCATCTTATGGCCTTCCGTATCCCACTCTCGCCGCTCCCTTACCCAGCTCCTCCCTTACGATAGTCTACCAACATCCCGCTCGTACCCGACTCTCATCGCTCCCTTATCCCGCTCCTCCCTTACGATAGTCTACCAACATCCCGCTCGTACCCGACTCTCATCGCTCCCTTATCCCGCTCCTCCCTTACGATAGTCTACCAACATCCCGCTCGTACCCGACTCTCATCGCTCCCTTATCCCGCTCCTCCCTTACGATAGTCTACCAACATCCCGCTCGTACCCGACTCTCATCGCTCCCTTATCCCGCTCCTTCCTTACGATAGTCTACCAACATCCCGCTCGTACCCCACTCTCGCCGGCCCCTTACCCCGCTCCTCCCTTACGATAGTCTACCAACATCCCGCTCGTACCCCACTCTCATCGCTCCCTTATCCCGCTCCTCCCTTACGATAGTCTACCAATATCCCGCCCCTACCCCACTTTCATCGCTCCCTTATCCCGTTCTTCTCCCACGATAGTCTACCAACATCCCGCTCTCATCGCTCCCTTACCCCGCCCCTCCCCTAGGATAGTCTACCAATATCCCGCCCATACCCCATTCTCATCGCTCCCTTACCCAGCTCCTCCCTCACGATAGTTTACCAATATCCCGCTCGTACCCCACTCTCATCGCTCCCTTATCCCGCCCCTCCCCCAGGATAGTCTACCAATATCCCGCTCATACCCCATTCTTACCCCCTCTTTAATGTCGCTCTTACCCCTCGCTAAAGCCTATCACCCTTGTATTCCATGCCTTACTTTAGACCACCTCCACAAAGCAGCCTGTAGGTCGTCGGCTGTGTTCGGACATGTTGAACCTGATCATAACAGTAAATAGATCGAACTCAGCTGTATGAATGAACCCACACAACAACACAAACACACACGCATACACGGTACCCGTTGCCTTCTCCACACACTGCTTATCGATATACTCGGCGACAACACTGTTGTGGTTGGCGACAAACGGATCGCCGCCATATTGAATATCCACCTTGGACAGGGACATGTGAAAAATTACGTTTGTTTTGTGGGACAGTTAGTGGATAATCGCACACTTTTGACGAGGTATGTGGTCAACATAGATTAGTCCATTCCTGGCCTAGTTTCAAAATGGTCACACTCTTTCTTTTTCTGACTAACGGTAGATAAAATATCGATCTAACTTTAAATAAAACCACAAACGCAAGACCCCTGCAGATAGAGCGACAGCTATTAACAATCAACTCTATCCCCATTGTCAAGTACATGGGTTCTTGAATATGTCCATAAATAAACAAAAACTGGAGTTTTAGTACTTATATGCGCACATGGACAACAAAAAGTCACGTCGATACAATGGTAGGTCATAAGGGCAGCGTATATTAATTGGGTGTTGAATATATAATATGAACATCCTCCTTTAATATCGTTTTATTAGTGACAGAGGTATTATGTACTCTCATATTCCAATCCCCTGGGTACACTCCAATCGAACAATGCGGACAGTAATATCAATAAATTGAAAGTACCCAAACAGCGCCGCAATGTTAATATGTGCGTGTTCGTTTGGATTATCTGCGTGTACGGTCCTCGGCTAACTGAACACAGACATATACTTGAGTAGCTAGGCAGGTGTACGATAGCAGGCATGTCATGAGAAGCACTGATGTGGCATATGGCATTTGTCACCAAAAGTAGCATTTAATTTCCGTTAACATTACAATTATTGATTATATGACTGAACCGATCCAAAAATTTCATTTTCTAAATGATGGCGTTTTTTTACGTCAAGCGTGATACGCCATGACATATTATCAACAAAACTACCTGTCTTAAACACGGTCACCGATCATACAGAAAGTAAAAACTGGTCAAGTTCAACCAATATTGACATTGCAAGCACTTCACGTTCTCGGACACAGCGCTAGTCGCGGTATCCATGAGACAGGGATTGTGTTTTAGACCTGTTTGCTAGTGCTCCGATGAGCGCATTACGCTTGAGTAGCGTTGAAAGCCTTAGATCAATAAAAATCAATTGATATGCCTGAGTGTATTGATCAGTTCGACGGCATGGGACGGAGTTATATACGATGAGGGGCCAAAGGGGTGGGTGAACCTACAGATAATTAGGTTGTGATATTCCCGGCTTTGTGTGAACGCGTTGAGCTATTCCGAGATGGCTAAAAGGTGTCACTGATCCCCTGTCATTACTGTGGTGTTTTTTGAAGTAATGAGTGTAGGTTTTGAATGCTTGTAGCCATCTTCCCGAGGCAAGGAATGTAACTGAATATTTATGTCCAGTTTCCACTTTTATAGTCAGTTAACTCCCTTGCTTCGGGAAGATTGTTTCTAAAACGAGTTTCGATCCTTCCCCTATATGAGCAGCTAAATAGGTCCTCGGGACCCTTAACAATGCTGGGCAGTGAGAACTGGTTGGACTCTGTCATCCCGCCCCGACAGCTTACGATCGTTGCTCATAATGTCAATCACTGGTTTGCAGGATTAAGATTCGATCGAGATATCGCTGACAACCTCAAAGTCATGTGTCATCGTGCCCCGGTAAAGTATACCGTTGCTCATTTTGCTCATGCTGTCGACCACTGTTTTTTTCTCAGGGCTCGTATATATCTCTGGACACAAACCCAACCACCACCCCATGAAAAATCAAAATTGGGCACGAATAACATGACAAAAATACATGCAATACAAATGTAAGTTTTGTTTGTTTGTTTGTTTGTTTGTTGTTTAACGCCGCATTCCGCAATATTCCAGCAATATGACGGCGGTCTGTAAATAATCGAGTCCTGACCAGACAATCCAGTTATTGACATCATGAGCATCGACCCACGTAATTGGCATACGATGACAGCGAGCCTGACCACCCGATCCCGTTAGTCGCCTCTCATTACAAGCATATTCGTCTTTTACGACAAGCATGGGTTGCTGAAGACCTATTCTACCCCGGATCTTCACGGGTCACAAATGTAAGTTAAATATTTGACCATCTGCAGGCTACAGGCTAGAGTGTAGGACGTACCACCTCTGTGTTCGACGCCATACTGTGCCTGTACACAAACAACTAATGCAACTCATCAATGGTCTGTTATAAGCAGGTTAGGTACGTCCATTTGTTAACTTTGGAACACAAAAAGGGACATGGTCGCGTTGGTAAAATAAAAAAATACTATAAAAACAGTTCCAATGCGACAACACAAGACAGTTTGTCGCATTATCGCATTCCAACACTTTGTTTAGTTATAATATTCTCATTTTTTTCTGGGTAATGCCCTGTTCCTACAAACAAACACAAACACAAACAAACAAACAAACAAACAAACAAACAAACAAACACACAGACAAACAATAGTCGCGACTTAACCAAGCCGCTGGGCACCACTTCTTTCCTTTGTTCACACAAGCTCTATTTAACAACAAGTTCTCACGTAAAAACAGAAATGTTCTTAGTCACACACTGGCCATTAATTCCCTTGTCTAGACCAAGGCTTGAAGTAGACCCAAGGGGGAGCGGAGGAAGTCATTAGGACGTGAGTGTCACGGTGTTACTCCTAGACGATTTGCCTTGACCTCTGCTGTATGAGTATTGTCTTCTGGTACATGGACAAACCCAGCAATGATTATAACAGTAGACTCCAATTAGAGCCCCGAACTGAATCCATCTATATCCCAAATGAACAGCCATGGCCAGACCATTTTCGTTAACCAGCCTGCTTAAATATAGGGCACTGGGTGATTGAATACCGCGACTTAGTCCTTTAGTTAGTCCTGCGCCATGACCGTGGAATATATTTATTTTATGAAAAAAACATAATCTAGATATGCATACAAAAGCAAGTCTAGCCAGCTCAAGCTAGCTCTATTCCACAATTGAAATCAGCATAGGGAATTTTATTTCTATTTTTAGAGTCAAGAAGGATATTGTGTAATATAAGATTTCAGAGACTAAATGTTAGTCTATCCTTTAGTCATCACCATGTTATATGAACTCACTAGAATCGTTTTGATAAATATTCCTGTGAACTACACAGTGCCTTGATTCCTGGGCTCCTTCAGATGAAGACAGAACCGTACCTCAAGGCCATCAGTATGGCACCATTAGTATCACGTGGCCACGATACGTGAAATGAATCCCCTTTCTGCACACGTCACCAGAACGCATGTAGCAAATTAAACAATTGACTTGATATTTTAGTACTCTCAGTAGTTACACAAAGATTACATTCAAGCACACGATGTCAACTTAAAATAGTGGTGAGGTGAGGACATAGTGTGTCTACCTTGAGGAGAAATGGTGTTTAACGTCGCGTCCAAGATTATTGCACTTATATAGCGACGTGCATGCACATGTGTGTGTGTGTGTGTGTGTGTGTGTGTGTGTGTGTGTGTGTGTGTGGCTGCTTGTACTAGTCCGGACTGATGCCGATTTATAGTGCTAGCACACTGAGATACCATGCCGCAGTTTAACATGAATACCCCACTCAGACACATTATGCTGACTCCGAGCCGACCAGTCCTTGTTTTAGCCCCTTAATGCCGAGCGCCAGATAGGGTAACAACAAGTACCATCTTTTCGTCTTTTAGTATGACGCGGCCGGGGATCGAAACCTGGACCTTCCGCTCTCCGGGCGGACGCTCTACCTCTAGACCACGGAGGCGGTCACTTAAAATATGTAACTTGATCGTTTAACAAGACAGTACATTGATTTCTACAGTAGTTGCATGTCAATGAACTATTTTTTATCATGTTTATTACTATACACCATTGTTATATGTTAATTACTTGTGCTTTACCCCATATACCTATGCGAGTATGACATATTGTTTATAATGGATAGGTTCAGGATATGTCGGACAAATGAAACACTTGACGAGTCGATAATTGTATCACCTAAACTCTAAACTAAATTGCTGTGTGATGCAATCGTGTTAGTTGAAATCCGCAGTTAAATGAGGCACCATCTGTTCAAAATCCAATTTCCGGATATCTCATACTCAATAACACCTTCAAATATGAAAATATGATATATTTATCGCTCACCTGAATAACCGCATATTACACATTTAATGGAATGTGTGCTGCAATCGTATTTGATGAAATGCGTTGTGAAATGAGACGCCGCCGGTTCCAAATGCAATTTCCGGTATCAAATAATCAATAACACCCGCAAATCTGAAAACACGTAATGTTAATCTCCTGAACCATAGACATTGCCCACCCGTTAAGACCCTCGACGTGAAGCTCAACGCAGGACTATTAAATTACCTTCACGCTCTCGCTATACATGTTGAGGTATGGGCCATGTTGTTATATACCCGACACAGGAGTTTATCAAATCGTTGTAACTAGGGTACTATCATATTATTATGGTCTCTTATCACACCCGTGATGCCACAGCGGTGTCAGTGAGGTCATCACAATGAAGAAAAGTGTTCACTTTCCATGGCGTCCGATCGCGATCTTCAAACCCGACTATGACCACAGGCGGATTTCCCGACTGACCAAAAGCTTGATGACCCCATTGTACAGGGATGTTTCTGATTACAGCCGGCCGACAGTTAAATATTATGGACATCGTCAGCAGCTGAAGACAAAAGCCATGGAGAACAGAATAGTAAGCAACGTATTGCAGAAGAACAGTGACTTCCTGTCCCGCCATCTTGTCCTGTCGCCCACAGTTCTGGAGAAGCTTCAAGAGAATGGCCTGATTAGCGAATACGTCAAGCGGCAGCTGGCGGTGAGTGTGAAAATAATCACCTATAGTCAACCCGAGAGTGATTCTGTAAAATATCATGTTTTTCAAACTCCTTTAACTCGATATATTGTCAAGACGATATACCGTATGGGACGATATGAGTGAGTGAATATGGATTTACGACGCTTTTAGCAATATTCCAGCAATATCACGACGAGAGACACCAGAAATGGGCTTCACACTTTGTACCCACGTGGGCAAACGAACCCGTACCGTCTAAGATGATGTACGATTTCAGATGAGATATAATTCCAGGCAATATATCATTTAAGATGAAATAGATGACGTACCATTTAAGGCGTTATATATATAATTTAAAACGACCTACCATTGAAGGCAATATACTCATTAAGTAAATATATTGTTTAGTACGATATTCCGCTATAGACAATATGTCACTTAAGACGATATACCATTTGAGACGGAATACTGTTCAAGACAATATACCATTTAATATGATGTACCATTTAATAGACCCGTGAAGAGCCGGTTAGAATTGGTCTTCAGCAACCCATGTTTGTCGTAAAGGCGACTATGCTTGTCGTAAGAGGCGACTAACGGGATCGGGTGGTCAGACTTGCTGACTTGGTTGATGCATGTCATCGTATCCCAATTGCGTGGATCGATGCTTATGATATCAGTCACTGGATTGTCTGGTACAGACTAATATTGCTTAGAGCGGAGTTCAGAGACAAACAAACAAAGCCTTGATATGAGATATCATTTAAGATGAAATACCATTGAAGTCGACAAATCATTTCAGGCAATATATGATTTAAGATGGCATAGACGACAAACCGTTTAAGGCGATATATTATTTACAAAATTTAAGACAAAATTCCCTTTGGGCTTTAAGACGATATACTGTTTAAGACAATGCATATATATATAAACTAATGTCCAAAAGAAACGATACCACGTGTTTGAAAGGACATTACAAAAAAACTAAACGATACAGACATTTCAAATTGGTATATGACTTGTGAGTAATGTTTTCACAGTATGTGTACAAAAATTCATTGTAATCAATCCTTTACAATCATGAGGACAGACATGTAAAGAAGCGGGGGGTCCAAAATGAAAATTTAATTTGAACACAGTTGATGAGTCAAGTGTGGAAAATGTCCTAACACACGTCTCAAAGTCACGTTAGTGAGGCCGTCGTTCCTGAAGATGAAAAATCTGCATTCGTCAGAAAACATGACACGTGCCCAGTTCCACCGTTGCCACCGTCGAAGTCGCCTGGCCCATATCCGTCTGTTGAGTCGGTGTTGAGGTGTCAGGAACGCTCCGCGGTAGGGGCGACGTGCTCGGATACCATGTGCCCGCAGTCTCCTGTACACGGTTTGTCGACTTATCACGTGTCCCAGTTCCGTACGTGCCGTTAACGTCGCCGTTACGAAGCGGTTCCGAAGGTGAAGTACCCGGATGTGGCGGTCTTCAATAGGCGTGGTCACCCGCTTCTCGGCCTGTCTGCTGTCCGACCTGTTTGACGCAACCGCTGCATTAACCTGGTGACGGTTATGCGCGCGCATCCTAACCTTCTGGCAACGTCGCGGTGCGTAGCTCCCTGTTGGAGCATTCCTACGGCTCTCTCTCTCTCAATCGCTGTCAAACGTGGCATTTCTTTTGTGTGCTTTTTGTTGCTGTGATCCCAACGTGTCGGGTCAGCATTTTTATACAGAAGATATGCACCTGCATTTCGTGTAACGGGACGGAACGTCTTTTGGGCAAATTGCACGCTTTTTTCTCAATTGATCAAATGTTCCCGGTTTTATCGACCGAATACGTTTGGTTTGGAACGTAGGATACGCAAAAGTACCTTTTCAGACGAAAATTTACTCTTCATAAAAAAATATTTAGAAAAATGTGTGGTATCGTTTCTTTTGGACATTAGTTTATATATATTAAGACGAAGTTCCATAATAAGACGATATACCATGCAATATGACATACCATTTTAGATGACATACCGCTTAACACGATATATCACTTTAGACGATATACCGTTTAAGACGATTACCTAGGCATATTGGTGTTGCTGTTGCGCCAGGGCGACCGTTGTCCAGTGCTTGTGCAATGGTACATTTTCTTTGACATCTTGAAAGTAAAATTTGTCATTATGTATGTAATTTCAGTTCAAGGACACAGATGAACAAGTTCCCTGCCTCATCGAGAGTTTTAGCGACCGCGGTTTATTGACATTCAGAAAGTTTCTGGCAGTTCTTCGAGAAACGGGTCATGGCTGGTTGGTAGACGTTCTGTTGAGGTCACAGGCTCTCAGTTATGAAGAAATCGCAACAACCGATGGGCAAGCTGGACAAGTAGACTTCAGACAGGGGTCAGGTCTTGTAGGCGAAAGGTCAAGGTTACATGGAATGACCCCTGAACATGCCCGGATGAGACTGACGTCAGCACATCTGAGAGGACGGGGAGGGGATGTTGGGGGAGGTTATGGGGATGCAGGGTTGGGTTTGAGAGGGGTTGAAAGGGGAGGACTTGGTGATGAGGGATACCACGGGACAGGTTTTGGATCAGGTGGTTACGAGAGGAGCGGTCTTGTCGGTGGGGGTTTCGAGAGGAGTGGTGTTGGAAGAGAGATGGGTGGATTAGGACTTGGTGGAGGCAGGTTAGCAATTGGGGATCGAACCAGCGGCTATGGATATGATAGATCACAGTTTTCGCTTTTGCAAAATAAAACGCCACCGGCGAATCTTGGGAGTGTTCTTAGTGACAGTAGGCGGGTCGTTGGGAGTGGGAGATTTAGGGGCCAGGTTGCCCCTGGGGCTCTATTCTCCGACGGCATGAGGGACCCACAACGAGGACCCCCCTTAGATATGGCTGGAGTATCGACTGGCGACATTCCCGGTGCCTTATTGAACCTGCACGACCACTTCAGAAACCAGAGCGACACCAACGAGCAGAACCTGACCATCCTGAAGCGAGAGGAGGTGGCCATTAAGGAACTCCTCGACCAGAACAACAGGGAACAGGTCAAGGTCAGACGGAACCAGGGAGCACTGACGGACATCGGACGTCGCCTGGAGGAGATCAACGTCAGGACCAATGAGGTATATGACCCCAATGTCCACAGTCAGATCTCGAGGTATCGTCTGACCCAGCTCAACCAGATACCTTGGTCCAATAGTAGATAACCTGGAGGAGATCAACTCCTGGACCAATGAGGTACATGACCCCAATGTCCACAGTCAGATCTCGAGGTATCGTCTGACCCAGCTGAACCAGATACCTTGGTCGAATAGTAGATAACCTTGACAAGATCAACTCCTGGACCAGCGAGGAACATGACCCCAACGTCCACAGTCAGGTCACAATATTCCCCCCACCAGATACCCTGGTTCAATGAAAGGTATCCTGGTGGTGACAAGTGCCATGTCTTACCAGTAGGGCAGAACATGCTTAGCCTCTTCACGAACACCTGGCGTCATCACTGATGTCCAGTGATCCATACATATTTTTTTACCGCCTCTTACGTCCAATGTAATCTGCTTCAGAGGATAATCGAGACTGGTTATTCTCTGGCGTAGACGTTTTATATTTACATTCTATCAGGAATAGACAGAATTATTGCGGCTGGATTTGTCGAGGACAAGACGTATACTATCCTCTTGCGTCTTCTGTGTTGTGTCAGACACCTTGGATTATCTGTGACAGCAGCATCATCCCCGATGTGGACTTTATCTCAATGTGTAAAGGCCAGTCCCTGCTTTTGTATTTCAGTCTCAAGGATTTATGTGAAGGATTATAAAGAAACTGTTCTCTAATGTGACAATGAATTAATCTTACATATATACTGGCATGTAACAGCTATTACATATACTAAGAATGTTATCCTTAAATTGTTCTAAAAATATGTTTTTGAATTGAAAAAGGCCAAAATATGATAAGAGTCCTTTTCGGTCCAAGAGATATGCATAAGAAATGAGCACAGTCCTATTTAGAGGCAGATTTGTTTTTCAAAAACGATTAGAACATGTCTGAGAATTATCATACCAATATTAAAATGTTTTCCTTAACCTTAAGTTTGACATTTCTAGTGGACCCAAATGTCCATTGTCATACCTCGTGCTACGATATGCTATCGCCGATATTCCTCTAAAACTGTTTTATGTGATATCGGGTAGAGGTGCGGGGTTGGATTGGAGGGGGGGAGTTACATCTGTACCACTGAATATATTCTGGTCCTAAGTGCCTTCAGCTGTGTCATGTGAACTGCCCATTTATCTCAGACGTTCTCCTTCCTTGAAATGTTTATACCGTTACTTTTTACAGTGATACATGTATGTTGAAACGTTAGGGACCGTGATGGACGCAGGCTGTTCAGACATGTTAGTGCTACGTGGAGTATGTACCACTGAATATATTCCGGTTCTAAGTGCCTTCAGGTGTATCTTCTGAACTTCCCATTCATCCTTCCTTGAAATCTGTATACAGTTACTTTTTACCTTTTTTTTTCTTGTACCACTAAGCCCCGACTGTTTAATATTCTGGTGGAGCGTCTGGGCATTTTATTAAACAATTGAAATTGTATCATAATACACTGGAAAAGTATAATTGTGTCTCAGATATTGTATTTCATATTCAGAAACGATGGAAGAAAGATTGGTTGGCTTCCTCTTTCAGAGCATATTCTTTCAGGCCCGTCTCCCGTCCCACAACCTTCCATCCCACACAGATATTAAATAGTCGGTACTTTTTAAGAAGTAGTTATTGTCTTCGTCTTTTTGATTATACCGATTGTGATATACTCCAAAAATACTCAACAAATGGCTGTGATTAAACTCGACCACGACACCGGTTACCAAGCCAAAGTACGTATAGAGCTCATAATATGTGGGGCCCGATTATTCATTCATGATATTCATTGCTTATTCATTTAGTTTATAGACATCAATAGATGTATTATTGACTTTACAAAATATACTCCTTTATATTTTGAATTGTGTCGCTTCTTCGTTTGCAAACAAATCTGAGGATCATGCTGGATAACCGAGATTTACAATTATAATTTACTTGCTTTTGCGTGTGTTTGTGCGGGTGCCTCCGGTGGGGCAGGATACGCTCCCCTGTTCGCGAACACCTGGTATCATCACTATTTGATAATGATTCATAAACAACTGCTCATTGTATAAAGTCGGAATAATACAGTCGACCTGCTTTTAGCAGAGATGACTTATGAATATGGAAATGATAAGGATACTTGATTCTGATTAGCAGGGATGGGGTGTAAAATCCCCATGACAACTATCTGATTAACATAGCTGTTATGACTAACGCAGCATTGCCTATGAATATTTTAAATCTATATCACAGAAACAGACCTCGTATGTTATTCTGACATTCAGCAATTCGTAAAAGTGGTTCAACGCCTCTTTGAACAGAATGTTAGTCACGACGTGTCAGGGGAATGTGGAAAGAAAGTCTAAAGTAATGCAGGGATAAGATATTTAAAGCTGAAACCCAAGACATCGGGTATGGTTCAGTCAAACCTAGAATCAGGACAAAGCGGGATTCGAACCCAATATAATGGCTTTCCGGCACGCTTTGGGGGCGCAGCTCTGCACAGCGATATAAGCCGTACACAACTCAGTAGTCATGGCTCTTAGTCTTGTTCGATATAAAATTGTATGCCTAATATATATTTAAGGCAAGACATATTGACATTCCACGCAAGTTGGATTTAAACTGCCCAAACACTGACTGTCCTGCTACCTCGAAGTTTATAAGGAATGTCACTATAAGGGTTGACATCTACTCAAAATACAGTCGAATCTCGTTGTGTCGAATTCCCGGATGTCTCGAACTCATTTAGGGGTCCCTGCGAATTCCTTCTCGATTTATCATCATTCATACTCGGATCTATCGAAATGGATGTGTCGAATTCCTGGTTGTCTCCAAGGATCCAAATTGAGCTCAAAACTCCCCTGAGAACTCAAAACAGATGAAAAAAACACGTCCCCACACCCGTCAATCTTACCATTTGCCAATATCCAGTTGAACCCAATTAACAAGCACACCAGCAAAGGAGAAAGCCACCACAGTGGCAGCACGTTACTCGAGTGATTTTGCGTGACTGCCTGGCGGTATGGAAAGGGATCGGGGGAAATAAACTAACATGGAGGGTACACAAACTGATGTCACCTGGCGGACAGTTGGACAACGAATGTATCTTACAGCTAACCTAATTGTATTGCAGGCGGCCGTTGGTCTGAAATCGTAATAATACAACAGTTTTGCATTTTTCCACTTCGTTCATATCTTTTCTCATTAATCGAAAAATAGCCGACAGAATTTTTTTAGAGTTATCCCCCCTAGATATACTTCATTCGGAAAATTTCTTAAACATCCGGAGAATAGAGTTATGCATAATGAATTTGAGATAAAAAAAATGGCGGTTGTTATGTTGCAAATGTAGTGACAACAGTTTGGCAATTTGAACGGTCGCCATAAGAAATGTACCTTACCTGCTAGCGGGGTACATTGAAAACAAATAGAATGGGGCTCAGACAATCAGGATCCGACATTCATACATATGGTAAGATAACACAATGGCTCAGTTTCACACGAGACACTAATTAGAAGGTACAGAGCTAAACCGACAATGAACGTTAAGCCATGGATTATGAATCTTCTCTCACCGTAAATAATCTTTATATCAGGCCGTCATGGTATATCTTCTATGTATGGTGGGATCTGGTGATACAAGGATAAGTGCCATCATGTACTCAGTATCATTCCTCCATTTCTTCCATAAGTAGTGTCGTTTGTCGTTTATTTCAGAAGTCTTGAAGCCCATGGTACACCGAGGCCGTTGAAATATTTGTACAAGTATCACTTGTCCAATGTGTTTAGAAAATCTTTACTTGTAGAATGTTCGTATGTCATACAATCATCATCATCAGGATTCGCCGTGATGATATATTGAGCTGATAATATCTCTTTCATACTTATAAGAGGAAGTAAACCAAGAAACAAATTCCAAAATCAAGATTTTCATTAAAGATTATTCCCCCCCCCCCCCGGCTGGCTACGGCACTGTACACACTTGGGGAATGGTTTTATTTTACATTACAGTTCTTTGTAACATTGAAAGATGTACATATAAATATCTCTGTATATATCAGACACATGGTCACATTACGGACCTCTGTAAGTCATGGTTCAATGTCAACGTTGAAGAAAGAGTGATCCTGACATGTTTATATAGCTCCAATAGTCAGTACGGCCACAATAAAGTCTTTCTTCACGAGTTGCAGTAGTAATAACTAGATCTTTACTGTTGGTGCCTGCCATTCCTTGTTACAAGCATTGGGTTCTCCGGCTATCAACGAAATAGCCACCCACAGAGTCATTAATCTTCCGCAAGTCAATACCGCCGCGCCACGCCCCCTCGAGTCGCACGAGAGTCAATGAATGTGAGGCTTGCTCGCTGCTTTTAACAGAATTGCCTTCCAGAGGCCATCCGGACGAATAATTCAATAATTCAAATAGTCAGCAACATTTCGGAAACACTAGAAAAGTTCTTTTTGCCTGTTAAAAAAGGATACAATTTTTCACAGACCGTTGTTATTGAAATATCGAGTAACTACCGATCGAACTACCTGTGGTTTGGAGTATTTCAGGCACAAGGAGTCCTATCAACAAGCGTACTGGAGACGAATTCGAACGAAAACAGGAAGTTCACATTTATTCTCAGTCGAATGATGGCAATCTGAAACGGACTATAGAAATATGCGCACGTGAGTCCTTTATAGTGAGTGAGTGAGTTGGGTTTAACCGCGCTTTTAACATTATTCCAGTTATATCACGGCGTGTCAGCCTTATGTGGTAGGAAAGCCCGAAGTGATGCAGGTCTCGGACGTTTACCACTTCGGTGAAACCCACGAGCACGGGTATGGTGCTGACAAACCTAGAAACATAATCGGGGCGAACCGGGATTCGAACCCACAATCCTAGGTTTCTGGCGTGCCCAAGGGACGCAACTCTGCACAGCGATTCGCGCTTCAGACGACTGGGCCACCCGTGCCCCCGATTCCGTTATAATGATAATAATGTAGTCTTCATAAAACATCTAATCTACACACACAAATCATTTTGAGGAAATTCTAGATGTGCATCTTCTAAAATGACAAAATGACGCTGCGTTTGTTTTGTCAACATTGCTCCCATGATGCATGTTACATTACATTTGCATCGCCAAAACCATGGTACACGATATGGAGTCTGTACTGGGAAATGTATACAAGTTCTTTACACTTTAGAGAGATAGAGGGAAACATTTATTAATTTAGATAGCGTGAATTACCGAACTGCCCAAGCTATTGGGTTTTTAATTCATACCATCAAGTCTACGGTATGATAAATAAAACAAAACAGGTATAGGGGTGGTCTCAAAAACAAAACTGGGACGTAAAAGGATATTAGACAGCTTTGATACAAGGTGATTAGACGTATAGTGTACAAGCTTTATGAGCAGAAGTTAACCCTGACTTGTAGTAGTATTTGGGAGGAATTAAACATACAATTAATGTTAACTGCACTAACTAATGCTCTCCAAGTGATGGGATTTCGATACACTGCGCGTTGCGATGACCGAGCAGTTTTCAGGGGACAATATTCCATCCTGTCTACGAGGTCACATTATCTCGGAACCATTCATAACTATCACAGTCAGGGCGTCAAGATAATTTACCTTGATGAATCATTCCACTGACTACATGTGGCTATCGGCAGATAGACAAAAAAAACACCTATGGTACCATCAGGTAAAGGTAATCGTGTCATTGTTTTGTACGCTGCAACCCATGGTATGGGGCTTTTTGATGGATGTGTGGTAGTTTTCGAGGCGAAAAGGAAAACTGGCGATTTTCATAAGGAAATTATAGGAGGGGATGTGTAGACTGGTTGGAACATCAGCTACTGCCCATTTTAAACAACGTCAGTGTCATTGTCATGGATAACGTCAGTTAATATAACGTCCGGGAATCAGATACTGTCGCCGACACCATGAGTAGTCTGAAGGCGACCATACGGGAATGTATGACATTATCGACTTCAGACCATATGAGACGAAAGTTCAGCTCATGGAGAAAATTCGGCTGAATAGGAACCGACACACAGGACACTGTGAGCTCCACCGTGTTGTGCCCATCTTGGCTAAGTATAAGGGGTTCGTGGCAAGACATAACACAACATTCAAAAGTACAGATTCATATACGTCACCAGCGGAGAGAAATGCTACCTCAAGAAACCATCTGTAGAACAACAAATACTTCTTGATTCCAAAACCGCAACCTCCCAATACTCATCCCATTTCATTGCTATTAACTATTCCATCATGTTTTCAAGCAAATATAATGCAATATATATATACAATTGCTACCCAAATAAACCGCACATGTCAATTAAGTACAATAACAGCAATATTTTGAGACCACCCTCAACTCACATGACTCAGGTGACATTTGCACCTGAGAGAATGCACGGGACGGTGTTAGGTCATCACCTCGGGACAGGTGTTAGATAATTACTTCAGGTAATGGGTCATTTCATACATGCATGACACGAATATTTTCCAAGTTGATCATCATTTTACCTGTAAAAGTACATTTTAAGGTTAATCACTGTGTCAGTTAGGACAGGCTAGATTATGTCAATTTGCGTTATTTTGATATATGCTCTTTTTATAGTCCTGTGGCTCGTATTTATGAAATGAAGCCCAAAAAGCGGTTTTCTAGCATTTCCGACAGTACTTTAAGCACAGTACAGTAAACTACGGTTATAACGAACTCAAAGAGACCACTAATGTTAGTTCGTTATAAATGTAGTTCGTTAAAAGCATATATACAGCACATGGACGGGATCAAAACACATTTCGTTATATCCGTCGTTATAGGCGTGTTCGTTATAGGCGTGTTCGTTATAAAGAGTAGTTTACTGT